CACACACACACACACACACACACACACACACACACACACACACACTTCCATCCAAACTAGATCCTGCCTTTTGTGTACAGACAAGAGCCCTTTGTTAGCTGGAGCACACAGCCTGGATTACTACTGCACAAGTTTCTGCAGCTCCCCTCGTGTTTCAGAGCGCACTTATGCAGCCTTATAAATACAGCACACGAGTGGCAGTGGGTTAGCAGGATGGTATCATAGCCAACACTAAGATTTCAAGAGAAACCTGCACGCAAAAAGGTTTATAAGTGACTGAATATATCAAACCGGAGGCTCTTTAAAGACTGGTCTCTGCAAGTCGGGGCAGGTAGGAGCCAGCTTACATAACAGCTCACTGGTTGGGGTAGTTTTTTGACTGTCGCACACGTAGATCAGTGCAAACAGACTAAATTCACATGAAAACCACACACACTTTGTCAGTACTTGCCGCTTTACTCTGAGGAAACTCCTCGTCCCAGGTGTGTGAGAGTTTTGGCAAAAAAAAAAACTGCAATTACAGCTTAGAAACCAAGAGTATTAAAAAGCTGCAAAAAAAAGCAATTACAACTGCTTTTGGCTTCATCTGGCATAAGCGAATAAGTTTGATCAAAAAAAGACACCAAGCAGAAAACTCATTTCCAACCAAATCTAGCTAATGTTGGTCCTTATATCCAATCACTGGGCTTCCACAGGTCGTGTTTAGCTTTCCAGTTCTTTACTTTTAACATATTGTGAAACTAGTTTGTTCCTTTTTCATCCACAAACACCAACGAGCTACGATTCAAACCACCAGCTGAACATGGAAATATTCATGTAATGAATTCAAAGTTGTACAAACACTGTATAAACATTAAGGTAATACACAGAGAGTGTATGAACACCTCAGGCCGTGTCTTGTACCACGATATGGAAATGCACTGACTGTTTTAGCATGTTTCCTGAATCCCATTAGTACAAAAAAAGCCCATTTCTCTCATTGTTAACAGAACAGCTGAAGCCAGTGAGCTGTGATGATTCTGGATGATCTGTGAACCAAACCTCTTAACGTGTCATTAAAGTGAAGCAGCAGAGGTACAATAAAAGAAAAGAGCCTCAGAACAGGCATCAGGAGCAACCTGCAGTTCAGCGTCTTGCCAAAGGAACACTTTGGCAGTGGAGAGGCCGGCGAGCCTTCTCTACACTGGGATGGTCTCCAGTCACTGGGATGGTCTCCAGTCACTGGGATGGTCTCCAGTCACTGGGATGGTCTCCAGTCCCGTGTGACGCTCTGCACACAGCCCACCGCAACCAACACTCGTATTGCAATCAATACTGCCAGCAAAGACGGACGCCATTTTTTTCCTTGACAGAGATAAAATGACTTATGATAACACTTATTTTGCAAAAAAAGAAAAAAAAAAAAGAATCATACAGACAAATGTAGGCTTTGTGTTGCGCTACAAGACTTAAAATCAGATTTCTGCCTCTGATACACAGTGATCTGTTTCATGAATGGATAAAGTCGGCTACCATCTTTGTTTTTATCAGCATGTCATGTCTCTTAAACCACCACTTATTTGTCAAACTCTGCCGGCTGACACGTCACCCGCTGTCAGTGTCATCTTTGAAGAAGGCAAGAGTTTTTGCCGAAACTGTCAGGTAATAAAAGCACACTCTACATGTCTGAATAGAGAACCTGAACATTATATTATCAGGAAGAAGACATGATGAACGTTTTTAAGCACTTATTTGTGTTTGAGATGCATTCATTATCTTCAGATGTTAAAAGCTCATGCTTCTTGAATTCACATTAGATTTGTGACAATATTTACCAAAGTTTAGATGCAAACTATTAAAGGGTTTTGTTGGGGGACAGATCTAAGCCATGGGACACTTTTTTACAAGCACAGGAGACTATTTAAAGTAGTTTGCCTTCCCTGCTGCTGCACTAATAACCCATCAGTGAACCAAGCTGATAGATGGACGTGGTGGAGGACACCAGCGATCAAAGTCTTGCTGGTTGGAGGTTAGCAGAACCCACTTGAGCAACTGGACAACCTGGTCGGACTGCCTACTTTTCACCACACGCAACCACAACCTCGCAAATATGCCGTCAACAAAGACAGAATGACATTTATATGGAAGAAGGTGCAACTTATTCCCATCGTCTGAGGAGCATCTTTAGAGGAAGGACAATCAGAGGGAGCTGTGTTCAACATCGAGCTTTAAATTTGTCCTGAGTTGACTTTTTGAAATCGCTGGAGCCCTGATCTGCAGCAGGAAAATTCTAATTGCAAGTAATTCTAATAAAAAGTTGACTACGAGGCGCACATCCACTCTCAGTACTTTCAGGAACTCCTGGTCACAGAGAAAGTCAAACGGACTCTTCATCAGTTTGAGTCCGTCTCACTGGCCGACCTGACGTCCTCAGGAAACCAGCCAGCTCAACTCTGGCAAACTCCGGCCACAAGTTACACTCCATCACACACAAATAAAACACACACACACACACACACACACACACACACACTTTCAGACTAATGAATGTAAAAAAGACGCTTTACTTTAATGAGCAAAGAAATTGCCTCCCTGATGAAGACATCCAAGTTCCCTCTCTCTGCCATTATACGCAGCAGGTCCCAGATTAGATCTTGCTGCTTTGTACTCAGCATACACAAATACACACACACACTCATACTGCCCCAGCAACTGCACAGCTGTTGACTCTCAACAGGAGGTGCCCATGTTGTGCCCATGTGACTCCAGCCCACATGCTCCGGCCCAGATTTAGTTTGCATCCACAAAAAAAGACACCCCGGCTATTCTTGCACATCCTCGATATCTCGCCGCCTGATGAAATGCGATTGTGCAAGCGATGCCGTTTTTATTGCCTCCGCCTCACATCATTCCAATTAACACTTGCCAGGCTGCATGACAGCCATTAGGAGCCTGTACAGCTGCTGGGCTCAGTGAAAGGGAAACAGGATGATTGTTTTTGCTCGGCTTTTCAGCTACAGATCCTTGAGTCACTGTGAGATTCCTGGAAGTCTTCTAAGAACTACATTCATGCAGTAGAGCTGCTCCTCTCAGTGTGAGCTTCCTGGAGTTTTGGGAGGTATGAAGCCTACATACGAGCCTCAAAGTGACAGCGGCAGTAAAAATCTGCACCTCACTTGGTTCATCAGTTGAGCAACATGATGCCAGCGGACGGACGTGTCCCACTGACATATAATTACTGCTGCTGCCAGATAGGACACACCAATAAATGAGGGTTACGTCCTTTGAAATAATGCAGATGCAAGCTGACGTCTGCTGTTATTACTCAGTGCTGCGAACAAACAAACCTTTACACAGCCTTTATATAACCGCTCATAAACATGAGTCAATCTCTGAGTCTAATCTGCTAAGATAACAAACACATAAAACTGGACAGGGTAATTAGAACTAGAGCTCGTGTCTGTGAGGTGGTTGTTTGATGCTGCCAGCCAGTGTCCTGCCTGTTTAACTGTATGTAGAAACACATTGATTCGTTCTGTTCCCTCCCCAGTACCCACCTCCATCCGCAGCCCTGCCAGTTGCAGGCAAAAGGTTTCTCCCCCGTGTGCCTCCTCAGGTGGGCCTTCAGGTGGCTGCTCTTGGTGTACATCTTGGTGCAGCCTGGAAAAGTGCATTTGTGCATTTTGATAAGATCTGCCACCGGGTTCTTCTGGAACTTTTGACCTCCAACAAGAATCCCTGATCCCTGGTTGGCGGCGCTGTCGCCGAGCCCAAGAGGCTTGGCTGCGATGGGGACTGGAGCAATGCGTACAAACTTGGAGGAGACGTTAAGGCTGGGGGAGGGCAAGATGTGGGGCACCAGGGCAAAGGTCTGACCTTGGATGTTGACCAGTAGCTGCGCAATTTTGATATCTGAGGCCGGGGCAGGCTGTGGGGGAGGAGCTGCAGGGGTGAGCGGCGCTGCTGTGGGCTCCTGCTTGATCTGAATGGGCTGAAACTGCAGGATGACCGGCATCCCACTGCCGTTTGTGTCTTCTGATGAAGGTTTGTCACTTGATGCATTCTTGGGCCCGGTGCTGGATTCCTGTGTGGGGTCAACTGATGTGATTTTGGTCTCACCGGAGGCAGCGGTGGCCAGACCAGCGGTGCTGTCAGTGGGGACAGTTTGGTCTGAATACCTGGCGTCTGGCTCCGGCTTAGGCTCAGGGGAGGCCTCTCTGCACCACTCCAGACCAACTTCCAGACCAAGAGGCTCCTCCCGTCCTACTCCCAACCCCGGGCAACCCTCACGGATCTCCTGCTTCATCGTCACCACCTCCATGTTCTCCTCCAGGAATTCTTCGATCTCTTCCAGCGTGGGCTGGAAGGACACTCCGAGCTGCTCCTCCGTCTCCACGTGGGACCATGTGAGGAAGTCAAAATTTTCCTCCTTTACAGATTCACGTTTTGGGTGCTCATCTCTCCGTGAGTCCCACAGGAAAGTGGATATTGGTATAGGTGCCACGGACCCCGCCGTCAAGCTGCTGGCACCTCCTAAGGAGGCCTGGGACAGCAGGTGGTCCAGGATGCTGTCCTGGCTTTCAGCACTGGAGTTGCTGCCATAGCTGGAGCTGAGCACCTGGGAATCCGGGCTGGAGCAGGAACGAGGGCTGGACGACTCGCTCAGGTCGTCCTCCGAGAACGGTGACGGCATCACCTGGTAGGAGCCCAGGTCCGTCACCATGCTGGACAGCTGGTAGGCCGATACAGAGCCACTGTAGGTTAAAAAAGTCTCCTCCCTCACTGGAGAGTTATCTACCATCCCTGGCTACTGCCAAGCCACTGTCTCTTGCTGCACTCGGAGTCTGTGGATGATTTGTAAGACAATTATTCCTTGTGCTGAAGAAGTTAGACCAAATAAACCGAGGTCACCAAGGCCACAACTTCCCACTTGGGTGAGACAGTAAAACACCTGGTGTGGAAAAAGTAGGCGTCGGGGAAACAATCTTGTGATCCAAGGTCTCCAGCCAGGATACAGTGTGTCTGAGCAGAAACAAACAGAGACACAGAGAAGTCTGTTAAGTTTAATCCCACAAGCAGCTCCTGTGAATTTGACAGAGACTGAAGGAATATTAGGTGATTATACATCTATTGAAATTGCATAATATGATGCCAGATCCTCTAATCCGTCTGTCAGCAAGTGTCAGATGGTAACCACAGTCTGTGTGTGCGAATTTGGAAATGCTGCAGATATATATAGGATTAGCAGGTTGGTAACTAATGCAGTCAATTTAAACAGCACAGTGAAAAAATAACTGCACACAAAGAATACTGAGTCACTGAAACAGAATCCCCACGGCGCTGATTCCCTGGTTTCCCAACATCTTTTGCTTGTGAGCAAACCAACAATAAACAGTTTTGAAAAGAAAAATAAAGTTTCATCTTGATTCTTTCCTTGATGACGGCCAGCAGACGCAGCTAAAAGCCTCGTAACACATCCAGCCGGTGGACTTTTAATTGAAGACTTTTGTTGTTGAAGTTGCTTTTGTTTTGGATAAAAGCGGTCTATAAGTACAGACCATTGTTTGGTCATCTTGTGACCTCTTATATTAAACCTGCAGCCCACAGAACACTGGACACTTCACAGCTACCACTGTGGAACTAAAACACCACTCGCTCTCGCTCGCTCTCTCTCGAGGACTTTTGACTACGACACATTATTTCTAGAGAACACTATCACTACAAATAGACCTTAATCAGTTCATTTAAGTTGATTTTAGTAATTATTCCAAGTAAAATGAGGATTCTTGCTCCTACATTGTAGGAACTGTAATCACTATTTGATAGAAATGTCAAAGTTCTAGATATTGGAGAAGTTCTGAGACGCTCTGATCAACATGTTTTACAAATCGTTTTAAACAAATCTCATAATTGAAAAACCTCAATGCTCCTCTAATGACCACACTTATAAAGTTTTAAATGCTGTATTTTCTCATGTCCTGTCATATTACTGTGATTTACACACACTCTACTGTCTACAGTTTGTTTTTCTCATTTGCTCAAATATCATTCTAAACTTTTATCTTCATAAAATCAGTTTTCAGTGACTTTTATCAGCCGACTGTATAGTCAGAGGGTTATAGTTCAGTAGCCATATCACTTTTATGGTGTCCTATTTAAGCAGAAGGCATGTGCAGTACTAATAGATCAGAAGGCTGCAACTGTTTTTAATGTGTCAGCATTGATAATGTGCAGCATGGATCCAATTAATCAGGTTTTTCTTAAATAGGTTATTTTCCTGGAACAGGGAGCGTCGGTTGACTCTCTCCCTCCCCTTCCTCATCCCGTCCCCTCCCGCCTCGATCCCTTTCCAGGGGCCCCTGCATGGTCTGAGTGACCGAGAATAAACCCAGGCCAGAAAGAAGAGAAAACACACACACATTATGATCAGAACACACCGCATGGGGCAGCCGGGAGCAGCATGCGCTCCGCTCCGCTGCATGCGTAAATCACCTGCTCCGCTTGTTTACGGGACAATTAAAGAGCCGTAAATCAGTCACAGCGCTGCCTCTGAAGCTGGAGGAGGAATATTCCACACATCGGTCCTGACTTGTATCTGTAGCTGAACGCTGGTTGCAAACTTGTCGCCTTTTGTGCCACATTTTTTTTTGATGTGTTTCAGGAGGAGAAGCTGTGAAAACGACTGAGTTGAGCATTCCTACACAGCTGGGGCCTCGCGTTTGGAATTACAACTCAACGAGATGTTTTTCTAGTTGCATAACAGTGATAATGAGACCATCAAGTGCTCCGCAGCCTCATGTTTTGCAGGCAGCATGGATGGACCCCAGAACTTAGAAATCCGCTCACAGCGCAACCAAGCGAACGAAACTCATCTACAATCCATTCATTTAGATTAATTTCTCAACATGAGTCAAACCAGACTTAGAGAAAGACCCGCTGTGAGCCCTGTAGGTCTGTGCGTCCCCTCCTCCGCGGCGCATAACGCATGAGTAGGCGCGCGTCTCAACGTAAACATGTTTTCGTCCATCCTGCTGCAGCGGCATATGGCACCGAGCAGCTCCCTCCCCAACAAGACACAAACAAACCAGCCCACGTCTTACCTCAAAGCAAATATAATCCAGAGCAAAAGGCGTAAAAGGAGACGATCGAGGTTTCTTTTTTTTATCCGTTTGCATCCGTCAACACGATTCGTCCTTGAGGCTCTCCATGCAGCGGCAGCAGCGTTCAGACTGGACCGAGCGCTGACTGAGTTGTACTATATGACCGTCACATGACTGCCAGTGTGCGTTACAGGCTGTACTGTAGTGAGAAATAAGAGGCTGCCGCTGAAGGCTCGCCCCGCTCTGCAGCCTCATTGGTCGGTAGTGGTTCGGAGATGGAGGCGGGTCGTCCGGTCTGTCAGTCACAGGTTCGGCTGCGTGGAACAACATGTGGGAGTCTCTGGCGCAGGAAGGCAGCGGCGCTGAGCTGCTATCATGATGAACAACTAACGCAGAGGTGTGAAAGAAAAGTGGGTCGAGCTGGATGCAGGGAGAATGGAGGACCAGAAGCACCTCTGATGGGAAGAATGACCTTTAAGTTGGTGCAACTTTCCACAAAGTGCCATTTTATTAGGTACACATGTTTAACAGCTCCTTAAAGCAAACATCTAATCAATCAACCACATGGAAGCAACTCAGTGCATTTAAGCATGTAGACATGGTGAAGAGGACCTGCTGAAGTTCAAACCAAGCACCAGAATGAGGAAGAACATTTGATTTGAGCTGTTGTTGGTACCAGAAGGGCTGGTCTGACCACTGCAGAGACTGCTGGTTTCCCAGGCTTTTCAAACACAACCATCTCCAGGGTCGACAAGGAATGGTCAGAAAAAGAGAAGACATCCAGTGACAGCAGTTCTCTGGATGGAAACGCTTTGTTGATGCCAGAGGTCAGGAAACAGAACTCAGATAAACACTCGTTCCAACCAAAGTTATACAGAAAACCATCTCTGAGCAGACAACACGTCCAACCTGGAAGCAGATGAGCTGCAGCAGCAGAAGACCTCCAGGTGCCACTACGGTCAGCTGAGAACAAGAAACTGAAGAAACTATTCACACCAAGTCAGACAATAGAAGATTGGAGAAACGCTGCCTGATCTGATGAGTCTCGATTTCTGCTGCAATGTTCAGATGTTAGGATCAGAATTTGGTGTCAACAGCATGAAAGCATGGATCCATCCTGCCTCTTGTATCAACGGTTCAGGCTCACGGCGATGTCATGGTGTAGGGGATCTTTTGTTGGCACACTTTGGGCCCATCATTTAAACACCTCAGCCTCCCTGAGTGCTGCTGCTGACCATCTCCATCCCTTTATGACCACAGTGGACCATCTTCTGACAACACTCCATGTCCCAAAGCTCAAATCATCTCAAACTGCTTTAATAAACATCACAATGAGGTCACTGCACTCCAACGGCCTCCACAGTCACCAAATCTCAATCCAACAGAGCACCTTTGGGATGTGCTGGAACAAGACATTCACATCATGGATGTGCATGTCTGGATAGTTTGGACTGTTGAGGAAACAAAGCAAGATGCAGCATGAAGGACTGGTTCTTATGGTGACAATGGTAAGAGCTTAAAGTAAAGATAAGATAAGATAATATAAGATAAGATAAGATAAGATAAGATATGCCTTTATTTATCTCACAAGGAGAAATTCACATCGTTGACAGCAGCTTTCAACAGACGTACACAGATACGACACAGGAAAAAACAAAAAATAAAAAATGTACATATAAATATCAGATATCAGAAATAGTGCAAACATATCAGAAATAGTGCAAAGATAGTGAAAGTTAACCTGTGAATAGCCGGGGGTCACTGGGATGGTTTCCTTTGCTGGGTGTTACCTTGATGCTGAAGAAATCTGAAATACAAAAGCAGGCTGTTGTTTGATTTATTTAGTTGGATTCACAAAACAATGACAAAATAAATCATATTTTATTTTCCAATTTTGGATTCTCATATTAAAAAGATTTAAAGTCTTCCTCTGTTAGTTCTTTGTTGTTTGTTTCTACATGAAATAAGGACTGCAAGTGACAAAAATCTCCACATCATTATTACACATCATTATAAATAAAATCACTCCAGGGGTGAAAAGCCTTCTGGTCCAGGTTTCCCATGAGGTCTGACTGAACCATCTGAAGAACAGCTCCACAGAAAGACATTGAACTTCTGCAGGCGAGCTGTAGTTTCGTGCACTCAGCTGTTACAACAACTACAGCTGCTGTTTATGGACATGCAGTCTGATGACTTGTTCTGAGAGATGCTCAGTTTCTTTCCCAGACCTTCAAATTTGATCGAAACGACTCAAAACAAGAGCAAGTTTCAGCTTTCCTTAATCACTTAAAACACTGGTTCTGTAGCTTTAACAGTCTGATAATGTCACTATTTCTCAGGTCAATCTGCTGTCAGAGGTGTGTTTACAATGTCTTTATGTGACCAATCACACACATGGATGGATGAAGAGGTGCACGGTTCCTCATTCAAAAGTTTCTTCTTTAAGATTCAGTTTGACTATCATCATATCACAGGATTGTAAAAGGAAATTACAAAAGTAGTCCCTTCATGTTATTTGCAAAAAAGACGTATGAAGTAGCCTCATAAAAAATAAATCTATTTCTGTGATGAGAATGAATCCAGTCATCTCACAATCAGGCTCTCGCTTTGTCGTGGTGTGGAGACGGTTTGAGTCTTATTCCTTCAGCTGCAAGATAAAAACATGATTCAAACCGGTCGGTAGGCTTCTGCTGCAAATCCTTTAATATAAAGAAGGAAAAGCACTTTAATCAGTCACTGTTTTAGAATTACATCACCATACAAAGGCCTGTACAACAATGAAGTGGCTTTTCATCTGCAAATAATGACGCCATTATCCTGTAGAAATGATGTTCATCTCTTACCTTGAAGGTAAGTGTGCCGTTACCATGACGACGTTCCCCGTAAGCAGTGAACCACCGTCTTAGTCCTGAAAACGTGGAGTTAAAAAGTTAGTGCGAACTTCAAATACTGCTTCACACCACAGGTCTGGAGTAATTTTAATGGAGTACTTTCCAGATTTAGCCCTGCAAAGTACGTAATGGAAACTGCTTCTAAATGACCTGGTGCTTTCAGCTGGATCACATGGTCTTCATCAGCAGGTGGCCCACTTGTCATGCAAGGTTAGAGATTATGGTAAAATCATCAGGCTTTTCTGAGCTATATATTTACTTCAGCGGTTACGTAAGCCGGTTAAGGATGCTGCGAGACGAATGTTCACTCGCAGAATGGTCCAATTTTAGGTTCACAACCTTGAACCAAACCGGTGCTGCCCCCCCAAGCGGACCTCGTGATGAGATGATTCTATCGACTGCTGTTTCCAACGTCAAGAATAAACTTTGAACCCCCAAAGAAATATTTTCCAGTCCGGTGCTGTAACTCTGTATCAGCCTCAGCAGGAACATCAGCTCAGTTACCGGCTGCCAATCGGAGGCCTGTCAGAGGTGAAAGCGGGTCACTGTGGGTCAGAAGCTCCCGGAGCTTCAGCAACTGACTCGGCGGCGACGTCAACACTTCCTCACACGGAGAGGAACTCGCTCTCTCAGGAACAATGTGGGCAAACCAGTCGAGCTTGACAGGAAGTGTTTCAAAAGCGTTGGGTTGTTCTTTAACGCGCCGTGTTTGTTTTGCAGTCGCTCCAAGATTCTGAAAGACACGAGATCACGAGGAGAAAGAGAGAAAGTGTCTGTGTGTTATTCTGGGAAAGGCAGCTGCAATTAGGTGTATCCACATAATTGGCTTATGATGTGGCAGACTTTCTACCGCACATTGCCACATTTTAGCGCCTGGAGAAAGGAGCTAAGAATAGACGGTGAGGCGGCATCGTGTTTGGAATTCTTCTCTCTTTGTAATGATTGTGATCACAAGGAATCTCTTGTTATGGACTAAGAAAGGAAAAGTACGGAGAGGTGACGGCTTTAACACACACCACCAGCAGATACTGAACACTTCTAGTTCCTACTGAGACGTAGACTTTTCAGCTGATTAAACGACATCAAATACAAGATTTATTCATGACTCACTCAAAGCAAATGAACACAAAACATTACAACATTTAAACGTAGATCCAATTCTATCCAATGCAGCCTCAGCAGAATAATCTATAAACACAATCATCACCTTGTTAAGGCAGCAAGCTGTTAGCAAACACTAAATCATTGTTGTTCAACTGGAAAACATTCTTACTTACATGCTTTTAATCTGGAGTTGTGTTTGTGGCCACATCAGGTCAGTTTTCCCTTTAGCTCCGTTTCCCACCAACTCCTGAGGGGAAAAGAAGAGTTGGCCTTTCAGTGGTAAATGCTCTGATGTGTTCACCAAGTCACTGCTAACTTTGCCTGTGTGCTGGTTGATGCTGGGCTTGTGGAGTGAAGTGAGTGAAGTGGGATAAGCCTTTGGTCTCTTCCTTCTCTCCTCCAGTCGTACCTTTGGGGGAGGGACGGAGATGCAAAGACAGGAATCCAGGAAAGGAAATAAAGATGCACAAAGTCAGAATGAAAAGAGGGGCTGCTTTGTTTTTCTCTGTGTTACTGCGTCTCTCTCTTCCTCTGGATCCATCCACTCATTCACATACAAGCCGTCCAATAAGCTGCCGTCTGTTTTCTGCATTTGGGTCTTACCTGTTGATTTTAACAGCTCTGGTATTTGCAGCGCTGAGATGCAATCTGTGACTAAATCAAAATAAACTCGTGTGGCTCAGTGATATAAAATATTACCAGACTAATCCTTCAATAGGCTAAAAAGACAAGAAACAAACGGGACAAATTTGAAATCATGAAGTTCTTGCCCACGATGTTTCCACTGAAGCATGAAGTAAAGAGCTTGACCAGACCCTGCACGAGGCCAATCCAGAAGGCATTACAGTAACTGGGTGTTATTAGGCCGACCATGTTGTGCGACAGGCAGAGCAGCATGTCTGACTGATCCCACTTGACCCCCTAATCCAGCCATCAAACAGCTGGAGCCACCAGCGCCGAGGCCGCCCCTGCAGGGTGGCTCTCCCCGGCCCACAGATTACAGGCTCGGTCTGGAGGGATAGAAACGCTGCTGATTCGAGGATTAGTCACTTGCCTTTGCCCTACTTCTTGTTCTGCGTCTCAGCCTCCCCGGGGACAGACGCAGGCTCTGGCTTTCAGATGGTGGATGCTGGAATCTGGTTCCCTCCAGAGATGCAACATGCCAAAGGAGGCCACGTTACTACCAGAGACACCGTTCAGTTGTTAATAAGCATGATGATTTATTCTAAGTAGATGCACCATGTGAGATTCAGAGACAGCAGCGACATTATTCATATCTTTATACAGCGGTGACAAATATAGATGAGCACAGACTCGGAGCTCTAACACTTCTCTTTAATTATACGCTCGTATTTGCATTTCAAGTGTGAATGGAGTCACACCAGTCTGCTTCTGAAGAATCACACATTTAAAAAATAAAATAAGTGTCAAAATGCCTCTGTTATCTTCCTACCATGGCTTTATATGATATTCTGAGCTCATTAAGTTATCATATAGTGTAAAGCTAAGCGGTTCCCAGCCTTTACTGTCTGGCATCCCCCACAGCCAAACCAGATGAAACGCCTTCATCAAGGCTCCAAATGTGTCCCTGTGATGGGCATTACATAGAGCTAGTAGATACTATGACCATGCTTTCACACAAGCTGTAGTAACACTGGAACAGTTTCCTATTCAGTGGAACTGTCACATCCAGATACAGCCTGAAGGGTCAGAGGTAGAGTGTAGTTCTTCTGTTCTGACATGTTCGCTTTCTGTTTCATTCCTCTGCTTGTTCGCTAACGAGTGAGAAAAGAACATTTAATCAAAAGCATAACGATTTTAATCCAATCTGGATGTTTTGCTTCGTATCCTTTGACCTGTACGGTCTCTGATGACTCTCTGGCAGTTCCTCACAAGCCTCTTTGTTGAAAACTGTTCCTCGTGTGCAGAAGCTTCCATCTCACAGATATTCTTCTGTTTCTGTGCTGCCGCGGTTTTCTGTTAATCTCAGCAATGATTTTCAGATTGGGAGCTGAGATAGTCCACTTCAAGACATTCCAGGAACAACTCCAAGCCGTCCACTCGGAGGTTTGTTTGGTATCGTTGTCTTGCTGGAAAGTCCAGCGATTACCAGCTTCAGTTTAAACTCACATCACTCCACAAATCTGTAAGAACTCTACGGGCTGATCCACGTTGTTTTGCTCGGTGCTTCTTGGTCATGAATGAAGTGCGGTCAGAGTTTCTGGAGATGAAGCTGGTGCTTGTTCAGCAGTCTTCTTATTATCTGTGCTGATTCATCAGGTCCTCCTGCAGGTAGTGGCTCCAAAAAAAATGTAGTGCTCTTCCTTCCACACCCAGGAAGGTTTGCTGCTGTTCCAAAAAATCTACTCTGACATCTTCTTGTTACCCATTGCCTGTTTTGATGTAATGAAAATAATGTCTTTCCTTTTGCAGCTAAAATGTCTAAATAAGCTAATGTCGTGGCATCACAGAGTTCCCACAAGTTTCACTGCATTTGACAATAACATGGTTGTAACTTGTAAGTGACTGAAACAGTCAAGAGCAGTTGAATAATTATGACTTTTTTCTTTTTAACTTATCCAAAGGTCGGGTTAAATAAAAGATTACAATGACATGAATGGGTGATGACTTGTATTTAACATGTAAAATACCATAAATATGCTACACTGGGATGTTTGTCACTGAACCACCAGCAGAGGTTAATAAAGGTTATGATCATAAGATGCAGCAGCTCTCGGTAAATAGCAATGCAATATTAGTATGATGTAATTCTGCCAGGTTCAAATGCCGGCTTGCTAAAACTGCAAATATTGGACATTTTGTTACAGGACAAAGATTTATCAGCAGCCAGATGAAGAGTTCTGTTTCCTCACTCTGTCAATACATGTGTTAGAAGCAGACCAAGAGATAAAAAAAAGACGTAATCGAGCCATAAAGACCGAGCCGTGTGGAAACCCCAGTAGCACCGGAGAAGTAGCAACTGAATCATAGATCAAGATTAGATTAGATCTTAGATTCACAAGGTCTTTACCAATGAGATGACATATTATATGTGATTTGACGCTATATAACTAAAATTGAATTGAACTGAATCAAGCCTTTCTTTCACCCTCCAGCCACCAGGTGTCAGTGTTGCTACGTACCTTTGAGCTTCAGCCACAGACTGCATATAAAAGATGGACGCAGCCACTGGGTCTGAAAAGTGAACAAAATGCAGAAGTGACTTAAACCTGCAGTCTTTCTAACAGCCAGCAGGAGGCGACTGCTCTGGTAGCAAAACGAAGCCCCGTTGTATGGAAGTGAACAGGAAAATGACCCCATTCCTCCGTTGATTTGTTTCTCAATACACAGATTTCTGAGGAGTTGATGGTCTCAGTTTCTAGTTTCAAGGTTTCTTCAATACAACATGATGTTTATTTTGTAAATGATGGTCCCACTTACAGTAAAACAGATGATGAAGCAGAGCATGTTGGCAGTAGTGGTTATGTTTTTTTCTTCTATATATTTATATATATATGAATTTAGTTGTTCCCTGCCCCCTTTCTGAGAACCTGCTACTTCCTGTTTGAACTCACAGTTCCACTGCCTTCATGTCATTATTGTTATCACTGAACTGTTCACATCGACGTGGTTGCCTTGTACGGACAGCTGTGACGTCCAGACAGTGAATACCATCTAGAAGAGCAACAAGGAACATCATTAATGAATCATTTATTACAGAAACAGCCATTCCCATCATACTGCGCTGCAGTTCACCAAACAGGTGACTTGTGGCTTATTTTTAGCTTTCATTGCCAAAAAAATAAAAGAACGCTCGTAAGGAATGACATTAATTAAGTCAACATTCTAGAGGCACAAGAGCCCTGCAGCTGACACACCTGAATGTAACGCAGGAGTCATTAACATTATTAATTCCTCCCAGGCCGGTCCTGCTTTGACACTTAATGAGTCTGCTGTGGAAGCTGAACAAGCTGCCTGTTCCTCTGACCACCAAGTAAACGTCCTGCAGGAGAGAGGAGTGACCCTGTGCACACTGCAAGGTGCAACTGAGGAATTTTAGTCCCAGATTCTTAACAGATACCTGTAGTTATTCTTAGTCCACTGTGAAAGTAACTGAACACAGTTGCTAAGTAGCAGCAACTGCCATGACTTCAGGCCAAGCCCATGTTTAAGTCCTTTAAAGTGTGATACCATCAGCAGTCACCACATGTTGACTCCGACCATATGACTCCTGCTGACTCCTATAAAAAAAACCCAAAACAAAACAAAACACACATTTTGTCTCTAGAAATACTAAGTCAGACATTTTTTCTATGGATTTGGGCCCCTCAGAATGTGCACTGGTGGTCCTTCTTCATATTAGTGCTTCTGCCATTTGAACTTATCCCGTTTCGGACTTTTGAAGCTTCTGTTTAAAGAACAAAAAGCGGTTTTACTCCAGAACTGTCCTGTTAGCTCAAAGCAGATAAAGTTTAATCCATGTGTAGAGCGGTCAGCATGTTCAGGAAGCTTGCATGGTTTGGTTCAAAGAAGCGTGGCAGGTTTCCAGACTGTGGCTCATCCTGCTTTCCTTACTTTAAAGATCTTGGCTCCAAACGACAAAAGATAATGGCAAATATAAATAGAAATATATAAATACAAGCTATGACTCTGGGCTTCAAACTGACTCCAAAGCAAACCACAGTAATAATAATCCCATTATCAACAATAGTGAAACATGTCATCTGAAGATGCTGTGAAGTAGCGGGGGATCATGGGAGCTGCTGTCTTCACCACTGCTGAAAATCTCTGATGTGACTCGGGCAGAAAACATGTTTGCAGATTGCTAATTGCTAACTTAGCATTAGGTGTACTGCCGTCCCATGGCTACTGTAAGTAACTTTATGTGGTGAATTTAGCTGCTGGGTGGCCCAGTTCTGTTATCTCTGGTCAGAACCATCATTCTAAAATGACTGTAATCCATAAATGAAACTATGAAGTGCTCCTCCTGCTTCAGTCTACATCACACACATCATCTGGTGTTTGCTGTGTTATCTCACAGTTACCTCAGCGCACTTGCACAAGTAGAGAAGCAAACAGAAGCTACCGCGGTGCAGACCAGAGGGCAGGTTGCACCACGGCAAAGGATGCAGCATCCAGCCAGCGCTGAATTATAAAGGAACGGTCAATTCACAAACCTTAATACATCCAGTGGATAAGCCCATTCCATCGCCTGGTGAAATACAACGATGTGCTGCTACAGATCTAATCTGCCCGTAATCCCCAGAAAGAAGAAGCAGAACTAAACCAGGGCTTCCATGTACTCATCCGTAACAAGCACCATAGATTAATTAAGGACAGGTGGACACTGGAGTCTAACATGGTGCCCATTCACTGAAATGAAAGGATGCATTCCAACACGAATACTTTTACTTCAGCCGCTCTTACAACATTCAAACTGTCACATGCAGCATGCATACAGCTGGGACAAACCTCTTCACTGTTCAATACTCCTGTGAGACACAGTGAGGGTGTGATGTTCTGCTGAGTAGACGATTGTGGACTTGCAAACTACAAAGTACAATCAGATGTGGTATTTTGGACGCACTGCATTTCCCATATTAGATATTGGGACATGCTAAGCCTTTCTTCATTATTACATTGTATGGTAGTTGAAGCTGCTGCCACTGCCCACGTGTTCCTCCTCGGTTAATGAATTTACTCACATAAAGCTCCTTTTGTAGGTGCTGGGGAAGTTTTACAAATATAAGACCTTCAACTAATATGATTTAATAAGAGACAGAGTAGTTTAAGTTGGAGGTGTCCTGTCAGCAGCTTCACAGACGTGTCTCTTGGTTTGTAGGAACATTGTTTTTGGCCTGCGGGTAAGTTTTGCTGTAGTACCATGAATGACCACTGGAACCAATCAGCTGAAAAGGTGGAGGGTTAATCAAATTTGTAGTCTGAAGTGTAGAAGTAGCACAAAGTTCATAGTATTAATGCTGAGAACAAAAAACACTAAAGAGGTGGACCTAAGCTTTGAAGTGAGGTACGTCTTTGGAGGTTGACAGCAGGTTTGTGGCACAACCTCTTGTAAATGGTCTGCACCTATCGAGGCACCTTTTAGCCTTAGCGAGGCTCTACAAAGTGCTGCACAGTGTGTTTCTTAGTCACCCACTCACATGGTGCTGGAACTGCCATGCGAGGTGCTTCTCTACCACCAGGAGCAGCTTAGTGTTAAACATCCTGCCCAATCACATCAGTATGTGGAACTCCCAACCAGTCAGTCAGAGCTGATGAAGCCTCTTGGATGAAGGTGGAACATCTTCAAGGAACTCAAGCAGGTCCAGCTGATACAATCAATCCATGAGAATAACCACGACCTGGATGACTGAGGATCTTCAGACACCTGCCCAGTGACACTTTGACACGTGGGTTTAGGGATCCAACACCAGCATTTCGATTAGTGGACGACCCTGTGATGGTTTTTGTAATCGAAACCTTTGTGGGTGTCAAATATAAGCCCACATTAAGAAACCTTGGAGCTGATCTCTGTGGATGTCCAGGAGACACTATATGACATGCACGCCACCTGCTGGTCCACAGTAGTACTGTACAAACAGGCTGAGCTGCATATACACACAGTACAGACGTTTTTTTGTGGGGGATATTATGACCTCCTGTCTGAACTAAAGAACTAAAGAAAGGTAAAGGACACCAACTAAAAATGATTTCACACATAGCTGTCCCTTTGAGTGATGTTCTAGAAGGTCAGTATGCAGAAGGGTTTGTGTTTTAAATGGGGCAACATGAAAATCTGAAGCACACACTATTCATATTTCAGCAACCAGATTCCTCTAAACTACACTAAATATATAAAGGCATCACAATTAGAAATATTTATACTTATAATACATCCTCCTTCACAGAGGAAACAGACAAGTTTTTGTGTTTACGCAGCGTCATGAGGTATACCGATCAGCCACAACATTAAAACCACTGAAGAACATGAACCATCTCATTACGATGCACTTCTCTGCTGGGAGCTTGGATCCTGGCAGTCATGTGGAGGTTGACACCCCGGTGCAATAATGTGCAACAACGCAAAACTCAACAAGCAATAGTCCAACGTATGGACCTCCAAACTCCCAAGATCCAAATCCAGCCCACAACACTAAGGGCCCGAGGCATCAACACACAACGTCCCAGAGCCAAACGTGCCAACACGTCCTGACTCCAGCAGGTCACGGCTGATTTGGGAACCAACACAACATTATGCAGAGGGTTTAATGTTGTTGCTAATCAGCGTAGTAGCTACAGAACGACCTCACCTTCACCATGCAACAGAGTCTGACACTTGGTACGACTAGAAGATGAAGGCCTGATTACAGCCCACAGAACAACTGGACTAACTGTGGAAACTCAGCGCAGCAAACGGAGGATTAAAAAGCTGTCTGTTGTCACTTTAATAAATGTGCATCTTGATTTAGTGGCAGATTTAAAATCACAACTACAATTAGTTTCCCTCCATCACGCTGAAACTCTAAATGCACTGTTGCCATTATTCATCTGTTTGTGTGCTTTGCTATGCTGTCGCTGGTCATTACCATCCTGTATATAGAGAATGAAGGGCAGAGAAAGACCAGCAACAGCTGTGCAAACTAATACCCTGCTGTTATTGGCCCTACAGTCCAGGCCTATTGGCTCCAACAACAAGATCAACAGCAAACAAACTTTTAAGGCTAATTTTAACCGTGATGAGGATGTCTGCGTTCTGAAGCTAAACACCAGGAGCCTGATAGTTCAAGGCTCTGCACTTATTTTGAAACCACTCATAAGCCTGCAGTCTGGGAGCTCTGGTGTGATTAGAAGGCCGGTGCCGTTAAGAGGTTCGTATGTGAAGAGAAGGATTTGAAATTCCTTTCTGGATTTTACAACAAAGAGCAGCTAATAGTGGAGAAATATGATGTCTGGCTGCAGCATTTAGAGGCTTTTCAGAGAGTTCTTAAGCATTACAAGAGTCCAGCCAAGAAGTACCAGAATGCATGGACTAGTTTTTCAGCATCACTCTGAGACAGGATGTTACGTAAGAAAGCCGTCCTGGAGACTCACTTCATGTGTGAGTTGAAGGATATAACCCGATCAAAAGGACTCCACAGCAACGCCATCCACAGCATCTATGTTTAGAAGGTGTTGATGAGGTGTTTCAGGGCCAAATACAACACCTTGAGCTTGTCTGAAATTACAAGTAGAAACTTACAGGTCATCAGGCATTTCTGTCTTTAACACAGTCATAAAGTTTGACAAATCGATTGGTTTCCTCTGGTTCACTGATAAATATAACTGGGTGTCATTTGCATGGCACTGATTTACACCAATGAGAACGTCTCAGAGAAGAAAGCATCAGTTCTATCAGTGGGACTATAGAACTAACTCCTGTGTTTGTTTACATCAACCAACTGGAATCTATCTGACAAACAGGATTAAAAGCAGCCTAATGTGGTGAATTTAATTACAAAAACATGCTCCAGTCTCTGTAATAAAATCATGTGATCTGTGGTGTCAAACAGCACTGACATCCAGCAGGACCAGTATAAAGCAGACTGCTGGTCATCAGAGCTGGTTCCATAGAGACACGTCACTGATAGTAAACCTGGTCAGAATCACAACAGCGTCTCTCCTTTGATCAAACAAAGTCAAATGAAAGCTTCTTCACACACTGCTCTGATTGTGCTTTGATTCTTTAATTCATCTGTATTTGGCTCTGCCATTCTGTAAACTTGCAGCTAAATAATAAATAAACTGATGACATTATTACAAGAAGGTCGTAACTCGTGTCACTCTGTATACAAACATATGATCAGGCATGTTTTCAACATGGACTTACTGCTGCAGTAGAAAAATAAAATCTTAGCAAAACAAGTCAAAATAACAGCAAATAAAGCAGATAACCTGCCGGTGGAGGCGTGCACAGCGTGAGGCGTCTGTAAGGCAACTGGAGCGTAGACAGCGCACTGTGTGTGCATGAGTGGTAATGTGGCACTGTGGAATAGACACCAGTACTGTAACACCCACAGGACACAGAGGACCAGGGAGCCTCGGACAGGACAGTGCTCTCAGCTTTGATTTTGGTACAAACTGGACTTTACAAATAAACAATATTCTTCTGAACAAAATATCCTCATCTCCTTCTCTCAAGGTGCATTATGTGTGGAATCACGTCCACCCCTCCACAGACTACATCAAGCACATGTCCAAAGGCCTTCAAAGTCACGGGCAAAGACGAGGCAACTGTCTGACGGAGTCAAACATCTCGGGGTATGTTTGTTGATGTAAACTGTGGACAGTGACGAGGTGCCAGTGAGGCCCGTCATCGTAGCAGACCTCTGACCCAGCAGCTCTCTGGGGCTCACTCCAAGTCCTGGAGGTTGATTGTACTTCCTGTGAACTGGGAGTTATCAGAGCCGTTGTCGTCCTCCGTCATCACTGAAGGTTCCTGTGAGGAAACCATGACAGCTCAGTTGTCTCATGTCAAAGTTAAAACCACTGAATACTGCTGAAGTTCTGAAGCTCTCACTGGGCAGATATTTAATGGAAAAGTTTGCTCAGCTTCCAAACCCCAGACAGACACATACTGCTCACATCAGCATTAAGATTATGGTGCTTGTTTTTGAATTTGCCGATTCTATGTGCTGTCAACTGCAGAGAAACGAACATTTCTTAAACACACAAAACACAATCAACTGAACAGACAAACAGAACTTCTCTCACCTGTAAAATGTTGACAGGCAGGTCGACGGTGAGCTGCGAGTGGGAGCTGGACGGCTGAGAGCTCAGCTGGAAGGCCAGGTCACCGTCACTCGCTGGGTCGTCCTGCATGAACACACACTCTGATCAACACGTCTGAACAACAGCTTCCTGTTACTATACAGTGAACTCTGTGCTATATTAAAGAGTAGAGCACTGGAACGGGCAGAAAATATTCTCTTTGGCTCTTGGCAATTAAACCCAAAACTTCAGAAGAGACTTTAACTGTTTATACAACAGGATATGGTCTGTATTAAAATGAACACAAATTAATGGCAATAATTCTGCTTATGAATCAGAAAAGACATCTGAATGTGCCAGAGAATCATTTTACATGTTTTTTTAGTACCAGAGTAATTCTACAGACAGGTGCTGATAGTGGCTAACCCAGCTGGTTTTAATGGCACCACTTCCACCAGTTGTGACGAAGGCAAACTATAAACGGGGCTTAAAGAGAAGAGCAGGAACTACCTGTAGCTGGCAGTATAACCAGTACTTTAAATAACTTACAGGTTGTCGCCATCTTGATCTCTTTTAATGCATTTCTGCTGTTGTCTTGCTGATCAGTTTCACACTGAGCTGATAAAATGTAGGAGAAGGAAAGAACATCTTCTCGTGGAAAAAAATCCATTTTAAAATACAGCTTTATGTTTATAATACCTCTGTATTTACATAAGAAGGTATTATAAATGATAAGCTATATAAAGGTATTGTATATTTTGACCTCTGTTCTTGCTGACAGTCTGCTCCATCCGTACATCACACACACACTGATGCTTGAACATCGTATTCATCAAATGTGTTGTCAGCCACGACTTCTGCCTGTTTCCTGACGTCTTTCCCACAGATCTAAATGTCATTGTAGACACTGTTCCTATTGAAACCAGCTGAGCGCTCTTTGTGACTGAAGCTCCTACGTTCCATGTCCCAACAAAGAACCATCTTTCTTAACACAAAATCAGAGTCTGCTCGAGCTCCACTGGATGTTAAACACTTAATTGTACCATGATGCATGAACCCGTGTGGAAGCGTTGAGTTGTGTTTCTCCACTCTGTAATTCAGGTTGTTGCTTTAATTTGTCACCTGCCTGTAATTTTGACTGTAATTATTTTTTAAATGACCTCCTAATGACTGGGGAGGGAATAATAAATGTACCACCTCCTGTTGTTAAATCAAACCTGAACAGAGCTTAGGAATACTCTAATGTTTGGTGGGAACATGGACCAGCTACATTAGATCTCCACTGAGTAGCTGGGAAATGAGTTTTACTGTAATCTCACCTGCAGCAGCTGAATCTGGACATACTGGGCCCCAGTAACGGGGTCACGGAGAGTCAGGCCTCCATTGGCTGCTGCAGCTCCATCACTGTAACGAGCACCAGAGGGAGCCAGTGGCGCCGGAGCCACGGGAGCCTTTGCTCCTTTCGTTTTTCTCTGGCTTGGACCTGAAGTGCCTTAGTTGGATAAAGAAAAGGCCATCATTACTCACTGTTGTACACTGATTTGAGTCTCTGTCAAGTCTCTATATGGAGCATTAAATAAAAGAGTGACACTGGTGAATGTACAGTACCAGATGAAGCTGAGGGGCCCCTTTGTTTCTTCTTCTTGGCCAGCTGGATGGCTCTGTAGTCGGTCCTGGCAGAGCCTCCACTCTCCTGAAAAACAGAAAGGGTGCAATTAGGACTGCAGCTACTTCTACTGTAAACCAATCTGTTTATTATATTTTAATTAACTGATTGTTTGGCCTATCAGATGTCAGCCAATAGCAAAAATGTCTATGAAAACTTGCAATTTTTGACTTAAATGTTTCCTTTTATCCATCAAACAGTCCAAAAATACTCATTGTACTATTTTGTAAGGCTAGAAAGACAAGCGAGAATGTGCTTCTGAAAGGCAGATGTGGATTACGTAACATCACTACTTCTCAAAGTTCTTACAGTGGCAGCTCTGTGACATTTTGACCGTCCATTTACAGAAAGGACTGGCTGCTGCTCTGATAATTACAACCTCATACATTAGAGGGAGAGTGACACAACAGAAAGCCAGCAAGCAGAGAATTAAAAAAGTTCTCCACTAAACTCTGGGGTAATTCCTGCAGACATGATGCCTCTTAAAAGTATTCACCCCTCTTAGCGTATTTCCTCTTTGTATTACTACCTAGAACTACTGGATTGTAATGGACCTAACAGAATGTTTCAGTGAAATGACAGATAATAGTGCAAAACAGACAAACAAACTATGAAAACGTAAAATCCTCTTTTGGTATGAAACTCTAAATAACATTTGGTCAAACAAATTAAATTCAGAAGTCCCATAATAAGCTGATTAAGGTCCAACTGTGTGCAATCAAAGCATCACATGATGCTTGTTGTTGTCTTTAACATTCACAGAGACACAACATAGGACAGCATAAAAGTTCTCGTGATGGCAGTTGAGTGCTTCATCATGACAAAGCCTCCATTCATAGCACATGGAAAAACATGCAAGTCTTGCTGTCAGATTTTTTTGGGGGGATAGCAGTTTATTAAACTAGTTTTGTGCAAAAGAGTTTCAACACTGATGTTAGACGGAAGCACAGGACATGGATACTGTTGTCTTGCATCATCTTCCCCTGCGGCAGTCTTGGTATTGATCTAGTGGCTTTTAATTCAGACTCCTGTAGCCTTCATGGAAAAGAGGGCAGGGTCCTTATTCAGACTGACATGATGCTCAGATCGACAGAAAAGGCTGCACGTCTGACAGCTGTAGATTTGTGTTTCTGGTAAATTGTTTTAATTCAGCAGCTCATTGTACCGAGTGCAGGTTAACCCTAACCCCTCAGTACCAACTAACACAGACCTGGACACCCTGTAGAATTTATAAATACTAACATTTAGAATTAAAGAAAGCTAGTAACTGTGTGGCTGCTCACCAGGAAGCTGCTCGGTGACACAGCGTTGAGTTCTGTGTCCTTCTGTGGGCTAAAGCTGCTGCTGTGACTGGGGAAGACGAACTGGGTGAGAACTTTTCCTCCCTCCTGAGGTCCCAGCACCTCCACACAGCCCAGCAGAGGCCCCGCGCCCCCCTGGCCACCCACCTCCACCACTTTGGAGGGTGAGGCCAGCAGCTCGGCAACAGGAGCCACAGCCAGGGATGCTGTCGACTCCACGCTCAGGGTGCTGGAAGAGCTGAGTGGGTGCTGCAGAGTGGGGTCCACAGACGCTCCAGCACCCTGCATGGTGAGAGCCGTGAGGGTTCCCAGCGCCTCCGGGGTAACCGTCTGCACATCATCCAGGTTGAGGGTACCTTGTGGGGGTAGAACATCCCCCACCGTTCCCTCCAGACCGTGGTGGGGTCCCATGTCAGCACTGGCAGCCAAGATAAGAGGGTCCACAGCCTTGGCCAGTGTGGTGCTAGTTCCAGGACCGAGCGTGGTGCCCACTGAGGAGGGGTCGATGGTGAGGATGCCTGAGCTGATCAGGGAGAGGTCCATCGTGAAGGTGCCGTTACAGCTTCCACCGCCCACGGGAATTCCCACTCCGATGCCAGCAGTGGGCGCAGTGCCTCCAGGCACAGCAGAGAACAGAGAGCTGAGGTCCAAGTTAGTCAGCTGGTCGCCCCCGGCAATACCTGGCCCTGCAACCGTGGTTGGGGTGGAACTGATGAGTTCGCTGCTGGGGGTCAGGGTGGGCGTGGTCTCCATCTGGTTCAGAACATCTGGGGTGGAGGAGAGGTGAGAGATTGCTTATGTAGACGGTGTACAAGTCCCAGAAACAACTGCAAGTGTAATAAATGATTCTGTAAAATTGCCCCCCAAAAATAAATACCATTCATCCACCGCTTTATATATGAGAATGAAAAATACATCAACTGCTCTTTGCCTCATCATAATACAACATACACTGACTGGAGAGAGAAAAAGAAACGTCTTCGAGTTGAGCAAGGTGGATCATTTGAGGTTGTAAGACATAACAGCAGTGTAACAGATAATGATTTCAAACAAAGCAGTACATCCTGTCAAACAGTCAGATAAACAGCTGTTCATCCTTTTAAACATTTACTGAATACTGAGCTTAGCGTTACTGCTGAATGTCTCCAGGTCAATAAATAAACTTCTACTTTTAATGATTGTTCTCACAGCTGCACAATACAGATCTCAGCAAGAACATTACAGTCAGGACTGTTTTTCAAAAAACATAAATGTATGCATTTAGGTGTGTAAAAAGGCATTCACTACAATGTGTGGTTCAGATTAAACACCCTGTTTTTGTGAGACACTGCTCCCTTTGAGCCTGTGTGTCTAACAAGAAGCATAAGTGGGTCATATATGGATTCGTCTTGTTCTGTTTTATAATGTAAGCAGTGCTGATTCTCAAACTATTACATTAAACCTAGTTTGAAAAGAACAGAGTGAAATGAATCATAGACTGTTTCTAGGTCATGAGCCAGCAGTGATGGTTACTAACCAGGACTGAGGTGGTGGTGTTTGAGCATGTGGCTCTTAAGGCTACTGCGGGAGGAGAAGTGCTTGGAGCAGTTGGCCACAGGACAGCGGGTCCTCAGGGTGCTGGCGTCCTGCTTATGCTTCTTGGAGTGGATGTACAAGCTGCTGCGTGCTGAGAACTTGGCATTACAGCCTGACGGACACACAGGAGGCACACGTCACAGCCATATCGCAGGAAATTAACAAACACAAATAGTGAACGATATAAAACATCCTGCTGGAGGAAATGGTAACCACTACCATATCTTGTTGTTAGCACACGTATCTACTTTATGTACCTTCTGCATGGCACTGAAAGGGCTTGGTGCCCAGATGTGTGATGCTGTGACCCTTGAGGTGCTCGGCGCGAGTGAAGGACTTTCCACATCCCTCCTCTGTACAGACAAAACGCCGGTCATCATCATGTTTCCTGACAAACACACAAACACAAACTTGTACATTAAAAAAACACACAGTCAGAAAGACCACATTAACTTCAACATTAATTCAGCCGTGATGCCTAAAACCCGACTGAAAAACTCTGCAAAATCAGGATAATAAATAAACTGCACCCATTAAACAGAACTGCAGGGGTGAGGTGACGCTTTCTAATTAAACATTTAACAGAAATGTTACTTTGCACCACAAACCATTGGTTTTGTCCATTTTTTTTCTACTGAGCTGAAAAACATGAATTAGTACGTTAGAAAACACTTACCGTTTATGTCGGAGCAACTTTGACATGCTAGTAAAAGACCATCCGCAGCCCTCTGAATCACACACAAATGGCCTCTCACCTGAAGACAAGAAGGCAGAAGCTTATTTTAAGTGCTTTAGTTTGTAACAAGCTAAACGTGAACTTAGGCCACGATTTCTGCAAAGCTGGCCCACTTCAACCACTGCTGCACGGCTGACCTGCTTTAGTTTCCGTTCAAACGAGATATTTTTAGTTTCCAGTGACTACTTCTGTAATTAGGGTTTGGAAATGCCGAGCATTGACCGTCATTGATTATGTCCACAGCATCCGGCTGCTATGTCATTCACTGCATTTCTGTGTCCAGCAGAAACATTTCAGGAGCTCACAGCAGCCACATTTCAAATGTTCTCGAGTTGGTTTGTTTTTTTTAATCATGTTTTACAGCAAACTGAATACATGCTGTTTGTTGTCGATACTCTGTGTCCACACTTGTATAAGACAACCCGCTGTGCCTCCAATTCTCTCTGCGATCACTCAATTAAAATGTCAGTACAGCTGATTTCACTGCTCAGCTGTTGTCACTGGCCTGGAATGTTGTTTACTGTGCTCATATTATGTGGTGACACTAATAAAGATTTTATCTGCAGCACCATCTTGGTCATGGCTTCAGGCTCCATAGCCCCTCTAAGAGCTGTGATCATAGCTCACAGAACTTCCAACAGACATCAACAACAGAAACAGGAAAACGTGAATTAAAACAAGATAAAAACTGTGAATTTAACAGCACTAATACAAAACCTAGTGTTATATTTTCCCATTCTGCAAATACATAAGGGTCAGTGTGACGTAAATGTCCTAATCAGAGAGTGTCCGTGAGGCTCTGTGAGGACTTCACTCATTTCATTTACTCATATATTTGACGGGGACAGTGCTCACTGATGACTGCAAAAAGTAACTGGAAATGAGCCCAAATTAGCCGATGACACAAAGACGCTTGTTGAGAACATCGACAGTGAACGCTGCTCTCATCAGGAGTGAGGGAACAAAGAGTAGCACATTCACACCCTCCTGTGATCCAGGAATGGTTTTTTTTCGTTTGTTTGTATAAAAGGCAGCCTTATGTTTCTCTGTGGCATAATTATTCATCACTGTAGAAATACAGCAGGTATATTTAGAGCCACTGTTGACTGACTCTGTACCTTTAGGCCCAGTTATACAGCGCTGAAGCCGGACTACTGAACTGCTGCAGAGAAACTACAGTGTTCCTGCTGTGCATGTATGGACCCATGCATTCTGAAATCAATTTAAAAACACCACCACATACTAGACCAAACATACTTGGCACTCATTTATATACCTGTTCACCCACATACGTGAAAGACTGATTTATATGAAAACAAAGAACGTATTAGGACTTACCAGTGTGACTCCTCATATGGATTTTGAGGCGACAGGCCTTGTCGTATGTCTTGTCACAGCCGGGGTAGGAACACGTGAAGTGGCCTGTTTCTCTGAAATGGGTACGATTGTGGGAGAACAGGGCACTGAACGTGATGAAGGTTTTCTCACAGCCTGCACAGAACAGAAGGGGAACATGTTAAACAAACCAAAACCAAAAGCATATTCTACACCAACACCTCAGCTATCAGAGTGTTATAGATGAAGCCGTTTTCAGATATGGGACATGGAGCAACGCTGGAAAGGTACAGTGTGAGTGAGAACAATCATGTCCCCATATTGGGGATAATTTATGATAAAAAGTAGTTATTTATGTTATCCCATGTGTATAAAAGCATGAAACGCTCTCTCCTTGGAGACACTCATCAGGATCCTGATGCTGCAGGAGTTTCATAAACGCAGAGGAAAGACTCCTACAAACAGCTGGAAGCAACAAACTACACTTTAGCTCCTGTTAACGTTTCATCAAAACCTGGATTATGACTATTAAACTCCATCGTCATGGCAATAACACTTCATTTTTATGGACACCTTTTTGTAGCAAGTGTGAAATTCAAGTGCAAAGGAACTGACGAAGATGTTTCGCCACGCCGGCTCTGTATGTTGTGTTTTCTGGCCAACATTTGTGTTGCTTTTCACGACTCCAAGTACTGCAGCTTGAGTGTGTGCAAACATGATTGCATGCAGTTCTGTTCGATCCACTAAAAAAAACAAAAGTGAGCAGGATGTTCATTCAGACATGCATCCGACTGACAAGATGCCATCAGATTCATGGAAAGGAGTGCATGACTAAAAGGGGCTTTAGTAGAAAAAAATAACAGACAAGCTCTGTCTAGAGGAAATTAGGTTCCCTAATATAAAATCCTTTGACCTGTTCTTTTTGCTGTTAAGCAAGTAAGTAAGCATGGCTGATGTGTCCAGTTTAATTGACACCCTGTGATGCTTGTGCAGGTTAAACTTTGAGGGGATGTACTTCTTATGAAAAGCAGGTATCACAGTGTGGTACAATAGCAGGACATCAGTCAACAGCAGGTGGAACACGTGGAAAAAGAAAAGGAGGAACTTCTCAAACTGCTTCGTTACCTGGAAATTCACACTTGTGGGGCCTCTGCGGCTCAAAGTGGACCCTCTGGTGATTGGTGAGCCGTGTAGCACTGCGAAACCTCTCGCTGCAGATCTCACAGATGAAAGCGTTGTCCTGTTCGTGGACTTTGACGTGAGCCTTGAGGTTGTAGACCGTGGTGAAACGCCGTCCACAGCCTTCAAACTGGCAGGTGTGCGGCCGCTGCTTGTCGTGGGACTGAAGATGCCGCTTCAGCTTGTAAGAAGTGGCAAAGGCCCAGCCGCAGCCCTCCACGTTGCACTGATAGGGCCGGGGGTCCTCTGCATGGTTCAGGAGGTGAACCTTGAGTTTCTGACGAGTGTCAAATGTGCAGGAGCAGCCCGGTTCTGGGCAGCCGAAGGAGGCCGCAGTCTCTTTCTTGGACCTGATTAGTGGGACAGATTGGAAGTCCTCATTGTCACAGTCTGCCACAGGGGCTTTGGGGGACGGAGTGACCAGATCGGCCTCGGTCACAGCACACAGCACCCCCGTCTCCTGCTTCACAATGGGACAGGAGTCCAGAGAGGTGCCCAGCTCTGACAAGGAGCAGTCATCCACCAGAGCCAGCTCAGAGTCACTGACAGACAGGCCGGGCAGGGGCTCTTCCTGCTGGCTGGAGCTGGCCAGGGCCAACGTGCTGATCTTCCCGATGGACTTGGTGCCACTGTCATAGTTGAGAAGAACAATATCCTCATGGTCCTTCATGCCGAGGTGCTCCCTTAAGCTCACCATGTCATCCTCCTTGTGCACGTATCCCTCCGGCGGGGCAGCCAGAGTCAGGATCCCGTTCTCGATGGTCACTATGATGCTTTGGTTGTTTATCGTGATGGTTCCGGAGAAGCTCTCACTTGCGGGCGGACTGGAGGAGGCCGTGACCGGGGTCGTGGTGCCCTGCAGCCCCGTCGCATCTGAAATAAAGCCCGATGTATCCATGGCTTCCACGATGCCCGCCGTCCCCGAGATCAGGGTCTCGTCGATCCGGGTCGAGAGCTCCCTGACCAGCTTGCTGTCATTGTTTTCGGTGCAGATCTGGCCGCAGATCTTTTCGCCATATTTGTTTGTCAAAACAACGTCTTCGACTGTTCGGTGGTAGACAGCCGGTTTACCGTCACCGCCGGCGGGATTATCGCCCAGCAAACCGAAAACATGCTCTGCTTTCTTCAAGGCTTGTGTATCGAGACAGTTCAGGTCGTCGTTGGCTTCGCGGAGAACAACGTCGCTGCCGCTTCCGACATCCATGGAGCCCCGATGACTCTCCGGCTGCTTACCCGTTATTTTAGCGCCGTCCTCGGATACAGCATCCCGTCGGGGTTTGCCTCCCTCGTCGCCATCCTCTTGAGCCAAATACAGGTCCCGTGTGGTTTTATCCTCGCTGTCTATCGGTGTGTTCAGGCTCCCCGGTGGTGCAGCAGCAGCAGCAGCAGCAGCAGCGCAGTGGCCGGCCGGAGGCTGCTGCTGGAAGGCGCCGTCCTCACGCTGCTGCCGTAAAGCTGCAAACGGTAACGTTAGCTGCCGCTGCGGTTCCTCTTCCCCTTCAAACAGAGGCAGCGCCATTTGCATTACCGTCCCCCCGCTCTCCGCCTCGCACTTCCTGGCTGTCCTCGGCGACTCCCGCGCGTTCAGCTCGTTTTCTGTCCTCACGTTATGAAGTCCGACCGCCGGTGTCGTAGCGGCCGAATGAGTTTTAACGGTCGTTTGCGGTTTGCTGACGGGCGAGCGAGCCTCCTCTCCGCTGCCATGTTCCGCCAGCAGGCGAAACGGCGCCGTCCTCGGCCTGGTGTTGTTGTTGTTGTTGTCGCTGTGCGGCTCCGGCCGGCCGTCCGCTTCGTTTTCGCTGGGAACGAAATGAGGTAGCGACCCTGTGGAGGGTCGAAGCGGAGACGAAGCGGTTCTGTGTAGGGCGCCATGTTGAGAGTGAATGTTTTGGGCATCAGAAAGCCCCTGGATTTCCATCTTGGTATCCCTGTAGCAGCGCCACAGAAAAGGCCCGCCCTAGTGCGCGAGAGGATCCGCGGAGCCACTTCACGGTTTCCAGCAGGCCCGGTGCTGCGTTCACGGCCGGCACGGAAACTCCCCCAAACCAACGGAGGCTTACATAAAAAGCCTGTTATAAATCATATGAGCTGTCACATGCTTCTACACAACAGTTTTGCAAGAGTAGAAGAAGAAGTAATTTGTTCCACTGCAATGTGAAAGCAGGCAAAAGAAAAAAAAACCCTGAATGAACCAGTTTTACAACATTTACCATTTAGACAAGAGAGAGAAAAAACTAAGAAAGGAAACCAAATGCAGAAGGTTTTGTAGGTTGTATAGAACCTCACACTGCAAAAACCTAATTCTAAGTATCTAATCCTAATCTTTTAAATTCCTCTTTACACCACATGCTACCTGTCCTTACATATTCTCAGGTGGTTTATTTGCACATTCCTGCACACTGAAAACATTTTTCTGTTTCTATGTGATTTGAGAACCTCTTGACTAATAACACTGCTTCTTATTCATCCTGTAACACCTAATCCCTGTGCCTGATAATACTTTTTAAAATCTATATGTTATAGTTTACTGGGATGCACAACAAAGTCAGATTCCTTCTACCTGAATTCATACTCGGCTATAAAACCTTTTTGATTCAGATTCTGATGAAGTCTTGCCTGCAAAAGCAAATGGAAAGGAACCAAGAACCAAGACTTTGGCCTCCAGTGATTTGCTAAATGCTGCATGCACTAAAAAAAAAAAAAGTCAAGAACTATGGCAATACAACCAAATACCAAAATGCACTCCAAATATAGAAAACCTTGCAGGTTGCATACAACCCAACACTACAAACCTAAATCTTAGTATTTAATCTTAATCTAAGTGTTGCCTTCAAAAGCAAATGCAAAGAGTCAGTGACCTAAAAAAAGGCTCTGGCTTTTAGTGATTTGCTGAAAAAAAGAGAAATTGTGCCTCTACAATGTAAATAATATTCAATATTTTTTTAAAAAAGCACACTAAATGAATCGATTAAAAAAATGCAACCAAATAGAAAAATGCACCACAAAAACTGACAACACAACAAAATAAAGTTTTACTGGTTGCATAGAAACCAGCACTGCACAAACTTAAATCAACTCTTGGCTGTAAAAGCAAATACAAAGAGTGAGTGTTCCCCCAAAAGTCTAACAAAGCATCCAAACCACCAGGTTTCCTTGTTGTCCTCCCTCACACATGCTTGTAGGATTGTGACATGAAATATGAAATAAGGCCACATATCCAAGTCCTTCCTGATAAACAGCGACAGATGCTCAATAATCCAGATGAATCCATTCACTGTTGTCATTTTCCCCAACTTTCTGTCTGATAACTTGTTTGCTGAGTCAGAGGTCAGACACAAAAAGCTTTGACTAAACGGACCAGGATCTGTTTTCAGGAGCGTCTGTTCGCAGAAGAAAGTCAGCACAACTTAAAGAGAAGCCCAGTTGCTTTCTACTGAAACTCCGAGGATTACCATGACCTGGACGACTGAAAGTGTACAGAGACATACAGATACGTGTCCAGACGCTCACACACGTTGCATTTAAGAAAGATAAAGAAACCACAGCACAGAAGAACGAGTGACAAATTTGCAAATTGTGCTGGAAATGAGAATCAAAGGGCCAAAATTGTTGATATTTACAATGAAGGTGCAGAATCGCTGGTATGAACAATAGAAACCAGTTTTAAGTACAGTTTAAATACTGAACTAATAATGATTTGCTGAAATAATAACAAGACACCACAATGTGAGTAAAAGTTTCTACCTGGACATCCAGCCACAGCCTGACTATCATCAAAGACTTGTTTAAAAGCAGATGCCTCTTTGTCCCATTGAACACAGATAACCAATCTGCCGGTCTATAATAAAACTCCAGAGAATATACAGAATCTAGTATGTAGTTCTTTAAACCAGGCGGAGAACCTGAAGGCAGCAGTTGCTGGTGGAGCAGCAGTGGATGTGATGGGACGATCTGCTGGTGGTGACTGAGGAGCAGCGAGAGGAGACGTTACATGATAGACTTTTAACAAGCAGTGCTCAGAAATGTTTTAACTTAAGTCTGGAACATAAAGTCACTTCATAACTTCATACATCACCATTTCCAGTTTGAGGGGTTTTTCTTTTCACTGTCCCTCCACTAAGTGGCAGTGCAGTACTACTAAACAGGAAATCCTGCTCAGCCCAAGCATTGCAGATGATCCCCTCCGTGATTAAACCAATATTTAAAGAGCATGGCACCCTCAGGGTTTAGAGTGTGCATTTAAAACTCACTCTGTTACAAGTGAACTCCTTTTTGTGCCGTCTTGACAGTAGAAGTTTTGAAAATACACATTTTTATGGGTATTTGAACTTAGACAGTCAAACTGCAACACGGTATTCATATTTTTATGGCTAATCTAACATCTGGCTAATTAACAAATACACGTTTGGGTAACACTGACACATTTAATGCTGATTAATGTGCATTTTTCCTGAAAAAAGAAGTGCTACCAACGTGCATAATAAAGGTAGAATGTTTTAAATTCAAATCTGCAGCAATTTAATCCCCTATTTAAAATAAATAAATAAATAAATGAGGACAAAATAGGGAAGAACGAAAAATAAGAGCAACCATTATCATTTCTGAACAATCCATCCATAAAGTAAAAGACTAGGCTGCCAGGCAAAGACAACAGCTGAGCCTTAAATAACATCTTTATTTGGTTTCTAAGCAAAAAAACTGTGACAAACTTATAAATAAGTTGCGACCAACACAAAGAGAGACAAAAATAACACATTTAGATTATCATAGAGGAACAAAATGGAGGGAAAGAAGACAGTCACAAAATAATCTGTACATCACTTCAACATATTTACATCTGACCTACATGTATGTTGTACAGAACACAGCAGACCGTGGAGAAGTCGTGAGCAAGTCTATGGTTGGTCAGTGTGATTAGCTCATACTGTACACTCTGTGTGGAAAGCTCAGCATGCTTCGTACAAAAATATACAATAGGTTATATGACTTTGGGTTGTGTACTTACTGATCATAACACACACATGCATGCATGTTTTTTAAAACGTCATACAAATCTACCCTACCGTTCATGTATGTCCTATATGCTCTGGGTTATTATGCTGGCAGTTCCTTCAGCTATACTGTACACAACAACAGCAGAATTAGAAAGAATGTTCCCGCACAGTATACACAAGTCAACACATGTAGGAATGTCGTTTGAAGTCATTCGTCAGATATGAATAAAGATACAGATAGTACAATCATTGGCAGCATATCAGCCAAAAAAAGCATGCAAAATACCACAGGTCTCCTGTGTTGTCATATAAAAATAGAGTCCTCCCTCGCACATACTCGTAGGATTATGACAGAAATAAGGCCACATATCCAATTCCTTCCTGATACAATGTGACAGATGCTCAATAATCCAGATGAATCCATTTATTATTGTCATTTTTGGCTTTACGGACCTCCTCTGCTTTCTGGTTTTGTCATCCTGTCAGGTTGAACATTCCTCTTCAGTTGTTTGCTGAGCCTGGCACGAGTGTCGAGGGTCAGACACAAAAAGCTTTGACCAAATGGCACAGTGTCTGTACGCCGGAGAGGACAGCACAACCTGTAGAGTGAAGCTGTGGAGGCCCTGAAAGCTTAACGCGCTACAGAGTAAAAACATCGTTGGAAATAATCAAAAGAAAATCAAATTCATTAATTTTACAACGCATGTAGCATTTAGCAAAAAATGCTAAAACCTGGGAAAGCACAACCAAAGACGGAAGGAAGTTTTGCAGATGTAACTGAAGTGGAATTAACAGAGCTGCAGACTTGAAACATGCAGGAAAAGTTCTCGAAAAAAGTCCACGGTGGCTGTTGTCACCCATATGAAATGCTAGAATAGATGACAACAAAATGTGCTGAAAAGTCGAAGCCTTTGATTTAAATGCAGACTGTGTCCTTGCAGAGCTGCGTGTTGCACCTGCAGAGCGTATAAAGTCTGGGACAGAAGTCAGAACCACAAACATTTAAAAGATTAAAAAGTGTATTTTCTGAACTCTGAGTCCAGGTCTTACAGGGAAATCCTCACATTATCTCTTTCAATTGTAGATTCAGTGGACTGAACACAAGCCTAAACCAAAGTAAGTCATAATATCTGAGTGCAGATAGTTATCCCCCATTTTGTTCTTGTTCAAGATAAATAATATTTGCAAGTGCAGGAACACGTCTGCTTCGGCTGAATCTACCCTCAAGTCACTTTTGCTGACCTCATTTGCATTTTATTTATTTTTTATTTTTGCTTGAAATTAGCAAATTTCAACAGCTAACAGAATATTTTGAGTTGTTTATAGCAGAGGGGAGCTGATGAGTTACAGAACAGCAGAAGCCTACAGCGGACACTGAAAAGTGAGCCGGTTACATCTGACGTCAGCGGCATCAAGATGCTAAAGATGGTTTTAGGCGTAACACAGTGATTACACTGTTGAGATATCTGCTGTTGACCTCTTGCTGAACACTAGCCGACCATTTCAAACAATGCTGTGCAATATGTGGATCCTGAAATCAAAATGTTGGAAAAAAGAAAAAAGACCAAAAAAATCTCTTGCGTAATTTCTGTTGTGCTCTGTACAGTTTTTTGGTTGTGTTTTTCCCAGGTGTTTTCCACATACACCCATGAACCCATTTTATTTGTGCCTTTCTTTTATCTATTTCCATGTTTTTCCTTAAGCTGCAGTGAGTCAAGCTCTTCAGGGCCGTCGTACAAACTGATTTCTATTCAAGCACCTACGTGCTTTTGCTTGAGTCCGTCATGCAGACAGTAAAGGCAGGACAGTCAGAAAACATAGTAAGTGTGGAAAAAGTCAGCATTCATGAACAGTTGTGCATACATGTCCAACACTGATGCAGCACCATGAACGAAACCACATTCTTCTTCTTTTTTTTAAAATCTTTCTTGGTGTCTTCCTTCTTGGGAAAAAGAACAAAAGTCCCGGTGACCCTCTCACACAGACTCTGCTACATATGAAGTATTCTGGCCTGTGAAATGTGCCCTGACCAGCCCCATTCATTTTAAACAGGTACACGGGTCCAGACAGCTTGAGAACCACAGGCTCCCACCTCATGCATGATTCATCTTGAAATGACAGCCCCAGCTGAGAGAGTTACAATTTAGAGGAAGAGTGGGGAGAGCAGACACGGTTCTGTTCAGCTTTTGCAGTCAGGGCTGAAATAATCTGCACCTTCATTTCATTAAACTGTACAGCGGCTGGAGAGAGAGGAGGTGCTGGAGCGCCGGATATTTCAGGCTGTTCTCCATCTCGAGCTGATTTCAAGGCCTTGTATGTTTCCTGCTCTCAGGAGGGATCTCTCCTCACGTCCAAGTGGGATTCGTTTAGCTTCATCTCTGAATGGTCACCTTGAAATGTGAGGTGACCACCAGCCCTTTACGAAACATATTTGACTTTCATGTTAAGCATTCAACATACATTTTTATGCCACAACCTGGACAAGAGTCAATTCCTGCTTCTCTCTTTTTTTCAGCTCCTCTGTGTTATTGTCGAGCCTTAAAAATGCCCTGAGAATAAACAAACCAGGAAGGACATCAGCCTCAGCGCTGTCTGATAGGAATGAAACCGCCCGGCTACTTCAGGATTTATTACTCTATTACAGCAGACACTCCTTTCACTGTGAGCAGGAACTGAAGTGGGTTGACAGAGCCGCAGACTCCAGATCTGCTGGAGAAGTTCTCCAAAGAAATTCCACGGCGGCGTTGGTCACCCATATGAAATGCTAGACTAGATGACAGAAAAGTGCGCTGAACATTTTGAAGCCTTTGATTTAAATGTGTCCGTACAGAGTTGTGTGTTGCACCTGCAGAGTGTGTGTGACACAAAGTCAGAACCAGAAACATTTAAAAAGATTAAAAAGTGTGTTTTCTCTCAGTCCAGTTCTTCTCATCAGCTTTTTTAAAAAGGACCATGTTCTCTTCTTGTGGGTTCACTTCACTGATTTGGTTTCCATCAACCGACCCTGAAACCATGCAACACACACACACACACACACACACACACACACACAGACACACAGACACACACACAAACACACACACATACACAAACACACATCCCGTTGTGCCGCTCCACTCGCTGCCCTCCACTCAGGCGTGAGTGTTGCGCTGCTTGGGGGCAGAAGTGGTCGTGGCAGTGGTGGTGGACATCGAGGGGGAGTCGGAGGTGGCGGGCAGCGGGGGCCGAGGCTCAATGCCCCGGGTCTTCATGAAGGACAACAGCTGGTCGGGGATCTCTGCCAGGACGTCTTTAGCCAGCCGGGCCATGCTCAGGACCTGGTTCCCTGAGCGGTCGATATAGTCCCGAAAAGGAACAAACTGGACGGGAAGCAAGAAAACAGCTGTTGGTACCATTGTTCATGTCTGTGAAGACTCTCAGTCATCCAGGTCCTGGTTGTTCTGGTAGATTAATCGGAGCAACTGGACCTGCTTGAAGACTCTCATCCAAGAGGCTTCATCGGTTCTGACTAGTTGGGAGATCCAGATCCTTAGATCCTTAAGGAGCCATGAGCACCTAAGCTGAACATTCACACCGAGCCACAAAAGAACCTTACGAAGCCCACTGTGGCAGGGGGAGGACTAATGAGTCACATAACGAGGGGGAGGAGCAACAAACCCCCAATTAAAACCGGAACTCAGGTGTTAACGACTCCATCAGGACATCAGTATGTGGAACTCCCAACCAGTCAGTCAGAGCTGATGAAGCCTCTTGGATGAAGGTGGAACGTCTTCAAGGAACTCAAACAAGTCCAGTTGCTACGATTAATCTACCAGAATTCAAAAAAATACTGTTGTTCAGTTTACATACTGGTTAGTAATGCATCCATACATGTGTACAGTTAACAGGGAGAACAGACTCCCAACATTTGTGCCTAAAGTTTACAAAAGACAGCAGAGTAATGAAGATAACTGTCGGGCCGTCTGTCCATCGATACGCCTCGTCGTACAAGATGCTGCTTCAGCTGAACTGTTGTGTTGCAGGAGTTAATTACAAGTGACACACAGTGTGTTCTCTACCCCACTGAGTATATGAAGGTTTATACATAGACATCAACATCTAGAGGTTTTAGAACTAAAAAGAACATTATGAGTTGCAATATCTACGTGATAAAGAATATTTACACAATCTAACCTCTTTCAGTTCTATCTTTTCATATCGCTACGTCTTATTCAACCCTTATCTATTATTGCTATTTAACCCTCTAGTATGTAGGGATAAAACATAGTTTATGTTTTTCTAAACTCTACAACGACACTGAATGAGCCCCTGCTGTGGAATAAATCTAAATCGTGCCTATACACGTGTTAAACCTGAGAAGTAAACCCAAAGCCATGAGATTAAAATGTTTTATGACTACAAAAAGGCAGCGGTTTTAAAACAAAGGTTTTTCAAGGCTAATCAAGTTCCAAGAGACACAACTGGCAGGTTCATGTTCAAGCTGAAAACTGAGTGTGGAAGGAAGAGAAATCTTCAGAGACATCCCTGTATTACAGCAAAACTACCTACAGGAGGATGTGATGAAACCTCGCTGCACTTTGTTCGTGACCAAAAAGCGTGAGCAGAAGAATGTGGATCAGCCTGTGGAGTTGTGGGAGTCTGTTTTTGTGGAGTGATGAGAGTTTAATCTGAAGTAATCACTGAACCATCCAGCAAGAGGATGATCTCAAGCAAACATCCAAACGCCTCGAGGCTTGGTTCAGAAATTATTCCTGGAATGGACCATCTCAGTTCCCTGGTTTGTCCTTAAAAATCACCGACTTCCACGGCTGTAGTTAACATGCCTTCATTAAATGTAATTCATATCATTAGTTTGTCTGGCAGGGTGGAGATGTTGGATAATTTAGAGTGCAGCTACAGGACACGAGTTGAACTTCTGCAGATAAACATGAGATGTGAGGGTTGAAAACCGGAGTGTCTGTGGAGTTATGTTCACCTGGACAATGTCTCTCTCAGCAAAGCGTCCCCTTGAAGACACTCGGACCTCGTCGCCATCCAGCTCCTCCATAGCTGCAGACAGGAAACACAGTCAACAGGCATCATGTACAGCAGTGTGCAGCCCACACAGGGTTAACTGTGGAACATGCTGAAGCTTATAGGACAGGTGTGAGGGTAAAACCTGTTATATAAGGACAGATAAGGACAGGACAGGTGTGAGGGTAAAACCTGCTATGAAAGGACAGATAAAAGCACAGCAAGGCATGTCACCTTTAACAGGGTTGCAGAGGTAGAAACAACATGAAAGGTCATCAAATGAAGTTCAAAGTAAATAAAAATGCAAATAAAAATAATAATAAAATTAAGTTTCAAGAAGAGATTTAAACGAGATCACACCAGAGATCAACTGGCAGGAAAAAAAGACTGCAATAAAGAAATACAGGTATGAAATAAAGGTGTGAAAGTCAAAATAGGTCATATTTTTGGAATATTTCTGAGCCTGCTGCTAAAAGCTCAGATTATTGTTAATGTTTTTTTTTCCCTCACAGGTTTGACTGGACACCTGCTGAGGTCAGAAGACCTTCAGCCCCATCCTGGATCCAGCACCAGGAACCATGTCTCTGTATGGTAGCTGGTGTTGTGGTTTTGTGCTCATTTCATACATAAATCACACCCACAGTGAGTGCAGTTTATTATTCCGTCCTTTCTACTTTCACAACTGTTGCAAACCGAATCTCGCTTCTTTATCATTAGTGGATTCATTATAAGTCAGCAGCAGAGAGCTGAGCTGTCTGGCTAGCTACCAGTGTAAACAACATTAATTATGTCTCACAGGAACAACTTCAGCTGCTAAAAGTACAGACGTCTCTCTGTGACTTTTTCCCCCCAGATCTCTGAACAATGACTGAAACAACCTTCAACACTTTAAGACCAAAGAAGTCCTTATCTACATGTGCACATAACGCCATGCTGAGGACACAGAGCTGACTTCTGTGCTCTTCCTTTGAATTCACACAGCTCCTGTTCAAAGTTAATCCCAACACATCAGCCCTTCATGATGCAAATAAAAAACACGCGTGCAGTCCAGGCTGCTGACAAGTCCTGCAACCGTCCTCAGGGACCCACACGGACTTCAGACCGGAGACAAGTTCTGCACCACATCTGTTTCCTGCTGCTGTCTAAGACACACGAATACGTTCTGTAAAGCAGCCTCATTACAGCTTATATAGGCTGCAGGACGTACACATCCCATAAGACTGGAAGAACCATGAGAGTTCTGCTGTGGTTATTTATAGTTGTTGTCAACAAAGTAGGACAGATGAGCGAGTGACAATCAAACAGTTGGCGTTCCCAAGAGCCAGGAGTGAATCTAACGGAAAGAAAAAGAAACTAAAAGAATAAAAAAGAGAAAATGAAGAAAAAAAAGGAGAAAAGTTTAAAAAAAAGAAATAGGAAGAAATAACGGGAAAGAAATAAAAGGAAAAGCAAACAAGCCTGAGGAGACCCGTAAACTAATATTTTGTTGAACGACCCTTCGAGCCAATCACTGCCCTCTGCTCACCAGCAAAGGGCTCTAATTTGTCTGGGACAGTTCTTCTTCTTTTTTTTTTTTTAAATTATTCTTTTCACCACAACTCAAAAACAATGTCTTATTTCACTGAATTGTAATTTAGCAAATTTTTATTTATTATTACTTTTTTCATTTTCTAGTTATTTGAGTGACTTTTGTGAATTTTGCCTTTTCTTTAATGGAGGGTATAAATACATCTGAGGACGACTGTAAAAACGCTGAGTATTATGTTAACTTAATAAAATATTGAAGTTAAGCTCAAATGTCTGCATTCGTTGAATTAAAACTAAATTCAGACTGTGGTAAGTTAATAAAACTGGCTTGATAACATTATTTTTCTTCACTTGACACTGGAACAACCTTATTGAAATTTGCCAACTTATGTAAGGTTTAACATTTAAGTAATTAAGTACTTTTTATGAGCAAGTCCCTAAATAAGTGGTTGTTGGTTGAACATAATTTCAGTAGCAGTTGTCAAGAAAAAAGGAAGAAAATTCAACGTAAAAGAAAAGCAATGAAGGGAAAAAAAAAAGACAAACAAGATGAATATAAAGGTGAGGAAAGTAATTAGAAATCAAATGAAGAAAAAGGTGAAAATGATGAAAAATAAAGGGAAGAAGCAAAAAAAAAAGGCCCGTAGTGATGCTGAGTGGGGGATGCTGATGGAAGGCTGGTGAGGCTCCACATGGCACACTGAGATGGCAGATGGTGGTCGGGAGCAGCAGGGGAGAAGAAAGGGGGGAAGGAATAAATTGACCGGACTGTATGCGAGAGGCGGAGGGTGAAGCAGAGCGACGGGATGGACGGAGATGTGAGAGGAAATAAGAGAGAGAGAAAGAAATACGTTCAGTCAGAATGTGCTGAAAAAGGAAGGAGGGCTCAGGTGAGATGGGTAAACCCCGACACGTCTGCAGAGACACCGAGGCCGATGGAAAGCCTCCTGCTGCCCTGAATAACACATGGCATTGCTCTGTGTGTGTGTGTGTGTGTGTGTGTGTGTGTGTGTGTGTGTGTGTGTGTGTGTGTGTGTGTGTGGACAGTGTGATCACACTCTCAGAGGCTCAGACGTATGGAAATCACCGCCAGGCTTCCAGCCAGAGAGCAGTGAGTCGTCCATGGAGCCTCCTCAGAGGGGCTGATATGGTTCTTATGGCAAAGAGACAAAACAGATGAAGTGATGTAATGAAAGCATCTAATAGTTTACTGTGATCACTGATCATTTGGTCTCGATTAACGAGTGTCTTGGACAATAACATCCGTACAGCTTCTAACAGCAGTAAAAGCATTATGGACACAAATCCCTGATTGTTGCTGAAAAACCGTTTGTGTCCGTATTAACAGCATTAACATCATTTATATACGGTGCTCTATAAATAAGAGAAGATCAGATTAAGATTAGAATAAAATAAGATTTAGAAAAGATTAGAAAAGATTAGATAAGATTAAGATTCAGATAGAAAAGGAGAGAATAGAACCAAACAAAAGCAAAGAGTGACTTTTATGTCACATTATTTGGATTTTAATGCATTTTGTCATTTTAAAAGTAGGTTAACAGTTAAATGTCAAAGGAAATAAAAGTGATTAATGTTTGGTGTGATGACGGCATCAAGTGTGCGACCCGCCGACAGAACAGAACATTTGCTTCAAAGAGCTCCTGGACCTTCAGTCAGTGTTTGTTATTGGGCTCTTCTGTGTTCAGGCTCCTTTTCAGCAGCTAGAATAGCTGGCATGGCCCATCTGACACCTTCTAGTTAGTGTCACTCAGAGCTCTGGTTGACGGGCAGGACGTTAGTGCAGGATGACGGTCTGGCAAGTCAGACTGAAAGGAAAGGACTGCTTTGTAGAAAATAATTCCTCCTGCTGCTGCCATCATCTGTTCCATCACTCTCATGGACAAAGAGTTCCTGCAGCAGCCAAACCTGTCAGGACCTGACATGTTGAACTGCACTTGTTTGGATCTCCATGCTTTTGGTTTCGTTTCTTTTGGTCTCACCTCCAGGATCTTTCTGGCTTAGAGCCCTGGTGCTGCTCTCAGTTTTCTACCAGCTGTGGACTGCAATGCTGTCAAACCTGCCATCTCCAGACCGGCCATTGCACCTCTTATTACGGGTTTGAGGGTTTTCCTCACAGCTGGAAGGATTTTTCTGTCATCAGCTGCAGTTGTTTTCATGGAGCGACATGTCCTGTGCCCTGAAGTCCTACATCGTGTTCTTTCTACTCGGCTTCACTTGGTACATCCACTGATAAAGGCCATCTATGTCATGGAGGTCTTGGGTTTCCAATCACTCCTATAACTGGAGTCAATGAAACCCATGAGTCTCTGTCACACAAAAACAAAAACAATCATGCATTTTGGTTCTAGATTAATCACAGGTCTTTGGAAATTTGACTAAATCTGCTGGATCATAAATACAACACTGCTAACGTCTGGTCAGACCTTCTGTGGGCGTTTTCACCTCAGCTCGGTGCTGTTGGTAGCCGTCCCTAAGCTTCTGGTTGTATCTTCAACCAGCCTCATGACAGAATTGGTACAGTTAAACTTAATGTCCTGGCTTTCTGACAGACGAGTTTCTGCAGCTCCTAAAGCAGGACTTTAGGGAAGCCAGTTGAAGATCTTAATTCCAGCCTGATGTAGTGATTTCTTTCCCACTTCTGATGATTGTTTGGGGTCATTGTCATGTTGGAACACCCAGCTCTGTCCAAGACCCAGCATTCTGGCTGGTTATTTTAGGTTTCTACTAAGCATGTGGAGGTCGTCGCTCTTCTTCTTTATTCCATTGACTTTGTGTAAAGCACCAGTTCTACTGGAAGCAAACCCGCCCAGAGCCTGATCCTGCCTCCACCATGCCTTACAGTAGGTTTGGTGTTTTTGGGGTTGATTGTGGCCATAAAGCTCAATGTTGTTTCATCTGAACTTTCCTCCATAAGCTTTTTCTTTGTCCATGTGATCAGCAGCAAACTCCGGTCGAGCTTTACGGTGCTGCTTGAACGGCGTCCTTCTTGCATGGCGGCCTCTCAGTCCATGAAGAGGCTCGACGTGGGTTTCAAATCATTCCATCATAGAAAATTAAAGGTTGTCTGAGTCATTGGAAACTCAACACTGTTGTGACATGTGTGGTCTTTATAAGTGTTCGTACACTTTTGTTCCTGACTGTATATCGGTTTCCTGCACTGTGGTTTCTTACAGACGAGGTGGTAATTGGTCAAGATCAGTTCTCTGCTCTACAGAAAGAAGCAATTTCTGCCATTTTTGTATAGAAATAGTAAAACTCATGTGTGTGCAAAGACAATTAAATGAAATCTGCTTTCTTTGATTTCCAATCCAAACACATGATGATAACAAAACACGTCACTCTTTTGTACCTGAACATACGTCTTGAGGGCAAACTGCTCACAATAGGACTCATTCATTCTTCTTTTGGTGAAATTAGCTCTTAAATCTACAGAATGCCAGAATGCCTTATTGTCTGATGGTGGGGGTCACCAGTGTGGTTCTATCCTT